TATTTTTAAAACTTATCTAAACTGTCCTCACTGGTAATTACTGCTTGAACCGTGATACTTTAATGATGTATCATTGCTTTTTTTTTCTCGGTTATTTTTGAACAGATCCTTACACTTCATGGCTGTGATTTCATATTCCTACTCACACAGGAAATTATTTGTTAATCCATTTCTTCTCATTGAGTCAGCTATATTCTGGCTCCTAAATCGTTTGACATAATCTCTATCCAGCAACCACAGCTTTTTAATTTTCTTTTAGCTATTCTGTTTTCGTAAAATTATATACTAATGCTATTAGTAGCGGCTTACGTTTTTTTATTGTATCGATTTAGATTAAACGGCCTGTTCGTCAGCGCATACGACAAGCGGATAGTGAGGAAAGTGAAGAAAGTGATGAAGAGAATGATGAAAATGAGGAAGAAGGAAATGATGAAGATGAAAACGAGGATGAAGAAGACAATGAAATAGAAGCCGGAGAAAATTCAACGACAAAAAAGGTGGCGAAGAATTCCGTGAAAAATTTGAAAGATGTAAGTTTAATGATTCTATTAGGCTTTTTCTTTTTGAAGATAACTTTTTGCGCCAATATTACCATATTATTGTTCTACCTATATGCATTTTGCGATAGTTACTTTGGAGCGTGTCGCTTTTGTATCTATATAGCAACAAAGTACATTTTTGACACCATTTACCATTTCTCATTACATCCTATTTCGTTTAGGGTGATAATGGTACTGGTAGTTGAGATTTCCAATAGTGATATGAGTATACATGACGTTTCCATTTAATTCCGCCTAACCTTGCTTTCCTAAATTTTATTCTCATTCAGGGTGGACTGCAGTTTCGACCCCGCCTAGGTTTTATAAACAGTCCCAGCGGGACTCAAATTATGGCACTGCAGAATATGATCTTGACGCATTAACCAATACGTCTACTTAAGAATTAAAAATAAGGAGTCGCTTGCTTTAGCAAATACAACTTTGCTCCATCAACAATCTTGCGATAGAATGTGAATAGGGTAAATGTCTAGGCTTTCTTGAAATTGGCATTCGCCCTCTGACCCAAGGACACTTATGGCAACGTTGCGTAGTGGTTAACGTGTAGAGATCATATGCTGCAGTGTCATAGTTCGAGTCCCACTGGGAGTGTTGATAGGACGTAAACTGGGTCGAAAGTGCAATCTATCCTAGATAGGAATAACTTTTAGGAAAGCAAGAATATGTGAATTTTAATGGAAACGTAATGTCTACTTATATCACTACTGGAAAATTTAACGACCATTCTCCTTATCACCATAAAGGTAATAGGATGAATACATCTAATATGATTTAGTGGTAATATCGGAAGCATTCTTATAAACGAAAATTTTGTAGATGCGAGGACCAAGATGTTATAGTCTTCTGTTTAGTCACAGTCTCTAGCTTTTTAGTGTTAATTCTACCTCGTTTTGGCAACTGGATCAGAGCTACAAGAAAACTTTGTTGAACATGCCTAGTCCTGTGTCCTCTGCCATAGTATTCGTGATTTTCAGCTTCGGACCATTGACTTGGTACATGCCAAAAACGTTCCGCCGACATCGTCC